ATGATTAATAACGCATTTTTCTCACAATTAATAAACTCATCTCTCAGTGAAAATGTTCGCATGCATATAAGAATGATGTTTTTAACCTAATACTAAAAACGTTCGCATTGCATCAAGGAAAGCGATGACCTTGCGACCAAAACATAGCTCGTCATCGAAAAGCGGAAAGGAGTGTACTACTATATTATTCCACGTTTAACTTTAGTTACAGATGGTTCGCCTCCGAGATATGAAAGATCGTTGCGGATCTTGCTTAGAATTCAAGAGCTGTTACGCGCTTTAATTTGACAATGTAAATAATTAAAGGATAAAATGAAATAAACTAATATTTTAACTTTAATTTAAAACCAATGCGTAGATCCCTTTAAAAACTTTTTTTGAAGAATAGCTACTACTGAATGCAAAGTTTTTTTGGAAATAGTTTTAATTTAATTTGGAATTAATCAACCGACGAAGATATTCAGTTCAGAAGCACTGTTACACTTGGCTTAACCGCTGGAATTTTATCGTTGGACCAGTTCCGTACGTGACTAGTTATGAAAACATAGATAACTTTGTTCTGAATTTTTAAAATCAGTAATCACTGAACAAGGATTCAGAAAACGGGTTTTCTATCGGCCTGTCAGTCTTCAACTTTCACCTTTCTTAAAGTCTTGTCATTCATTCAAACGGTTTACTGACTGACAGATCCCCCGCTGTAGTCGGCCGGTCGAAACTGATATTAAATGTTTTTTGGTTAGAAGGCTGTTTGAGAGCACATTTGGATGCCTTATGCAGTTCCCTACACCGCCGTTTTGTAGAAGGAACGTTTGCTAATGAAATGTTCCATGGTTCGGCTATCCGCTCCACACTCTCACTTGCATAAGTTACAGAACTTCCAGTTGTAAGCATGGTATACGTAGTATGCATTTCTGCGGTGTAATTTTGTCCTGATGCTGGTCAAGTACCGTAGCTTTTGCGTTTTATGAAAAATCGTTTGGGGGATGGTTGGTTCTCAGATTTGATGCTTATTGCGAACATTGTTTTTGTGTTCGATAACTTGCGACAGGCGCCCTGAACCATAGCTAATGACTAAACGAAACGAAAAGCGTATGAAAACAGTGAGTTCGAACGTTGCACCATTTTGTCAACTATTAGTACCATAGTGCCCAAAGAATTTTTCACATAGACCTGTAAAACAAATTTTTAATCAGCGTTTGCATCAGCCAGCCATAAGATTAATGTAATCTCTTTTTTCTAACTTAGTGTGGTATTTCAGGTCAAGGCGTCGTCCTGGAAAGAAGTTTTCAAAGCGACTTCGTGTTCGTCGAGGCGATGCATCAGAAAGGATTCATAACCGAGGAGTGTATGCGAATCCTATGTAACTTGTACTGCACGCTTTGCATTGTCGTTTACAGTCTACCAGTTCTACAAGGAATTAAGAAAGGCCCTTCTGCCAACCATCATTCTCCAACCCCATCTGGTGATCTACTTGGATCGTCCGGTTAAAGATTGTTTGGCCTACATAAAGAAGCGAAACATCGTGAGTTTCAGTTTAAAGTTTCTTGCTTAAAAAAACCTAGTTGAGCAGTAATGTTTTGCAGCATAATTAAGAATGATGCAGATGCGCTAATTAAGTTATGAAATTAATAACGGTTTCCGGGTTCGTAGCATCTGTTGGCTCACTCTGTGCTTCAGACTGTCGAATTTATAGATACTTTTCCCTTTCGCCTTCTTCTGCTCCCTCATCCTTCATTATAATGCGCACTTAAAAATTGCTTGAAATTAAATTTGACAGCTCGGATATAGACAAGCCCCACTATGAAAAAGGGATATAAATAGTCTTTTGAATTAAAAATGCTTTACGCGTCTAATTTACACGCATGTCATATATAAAAGTCTTCTGTGATCTAATGCAACACTGTGGGTAAAGATTCTGATTTAACAGTCCGAAATTTTTGAAAATCGTGGAATGTTTATGACGCTAGTCAAACCTTTGCCAAAGCGTGAGAAAACGTTGCTCTAAATTATATTATTCGGTTGGATAAAAATATTATCTGCATCTTGTTCATATGTTAAGAATGAAAATTTCGAAAAATGGCTTGACAAAAAAATAGTGAATCTTACTTAACAATTAAAATTAAAAGTTGATGGACGTGATATCGAAGAATTAATTGATTCACTGGAGATGAATTATCGAACGAAGGATTTGTTGAAGTTTAACCTTCAGAATTTTCTGATACTATTTATACTGTGTTATATTGCTTTATGTTGATAACTACCTACTGAAATCTAATTTGGGTGTTCGTATGGAAAATTAAGCTAGCAGAAATGACCTTTAAAACATGTTAATATACTGCTGTATGCAGTTACTGTAAACTTGCAAGCACTAGGGTGTAATTAACAGCGGAGGGTAGATTAAATCCGACTGACATAAAATTCTTGTTACGTAATGATTTTTCGAGCTTCACTCAACAGAGTTTCAGTGTATCTTATTTTGGTCGGCTTTCCTATTTATTCCGTAAAATAAACTATAAATTCAACATATAAGCCCTTTAGGGTTCATCAGTTGTTTCCTCTTGGAAAATCTTTTTGCTGCCAGTTGGCGCTCTGCTCTTGCATGATATCGTTAACCTTCTTGTCAGTTGCAGTGAGAAATGCATCCTCCATTCTACTGCCTGGCAACACAAGTATACAAAGTCAGATATAATTAATATTGCGGATTTTTTAAATCTTGGCGATCTCTGTAGCTTTGGAAAATATTTAGCATGTTCTGGGCTGTCAGCCCTTCTTGTCTGTGCATCGTCGCTTCTCTGTTCAAAACAAAAATAGCGTTATGCAAATTGTTTTACATACCTTCTTAATAAAATAAACATGCATGGAGAATCTTTCCATTTCCATCAAGCATTTGTTGTCTTGTCTAATTGTAATTGTAGCTGGAACTTTTTCGTCAGTCGCTTTGGAATCATTTGCGACATTGTAAATTTCATCTCATAGCTTACACATATTTGTCGAACTGCAGTGACTGCGGGAAGACAATCGCGGATTGGAAAACTGAGATTGTAGTACCAGTGCTGAAGAAGGGAGACCACAGGGAGCGCTCCAATTACTGGGACATTTCCTTACAAAGACTTCCAGCTAAAATCTACACAAAGGTGGTAGAAAAAATACCGTGGAATACCTGACATTTAAATGCAAGAATAGAAACGTGACTTCCGGTCTTGCCGCAGCAAATCTAACCAGATATTCGCCCTACGCGAGATTGTTCTAATAATCCGGTTTATATGTGTTCTGTGGGCCTAGAGAAAGCCACCGGATCCTGCGCATCAATCTGTGTGCATGCCTCTGAGCGTATGGGACCGATGGTCAGATGCTTCGGGTCATGCAGTCACAGTGCTCTGAGATCGGGTGCCGCGTCAGAATAAATGGCGTTAAGTCGAAGCCTTTCAGCGTTGGCACTGATCTCCACCAAAACTCCGTTCTGTCCCCTCTCCTGTTTGTGTTGTACGTGCATAGAGTTGTCAGGCGCAACCAAGACGATGAATGTATCGGTGTAGGAGATGCGTAGACGAGATGGTTGCTGTTTGCAGATGACCTTGTTTTGCTGGCATCATCTGTAACTTATCTACAGCGCTCTATGGAAAGGTTCGCAGCCAAGTACGGCTTGACCGGAATCCATTTGAACGAATGGTCTAGTGCCTTCTCGTCCTTTTCCCTTGCTCTCTTCAGATGGACGGAGAAGCAATGGAGCAGGTGAAGTTCAATTATATAGGTTGCGGGAGGGTGTTTGCTAATAATTAAAAATGTAAGAGATCGAACGGCGGATTGGAGTTCTGCGTGAGC